GCCACCGCGCGCCGCAGGCGCCCCGACCCCCGTCGCGGCGCGACGACGAGGCGAGGTTGGCCCCCGTCGGCGGGCTCCCCCCCCACGCTGATGAAGAAACCCAGAGCAGTCACAGCTTGTACCACACAGCTTGCGCCATGGCTTGCCCCCCCCACACAGCTTCGACCACATAGTCTGCACATCCACAGCGGACAACCTCACTGTTTGAGGCCCACGCTGGAGAAATGTCCTCCACGGCTCGCAGAATGGGGCACTGCTCGGCGGCCGCGCAGCCATGCGCGGAGTCGCGAGGTTCTCAAGCAGCGCTTCCGCCAGCGAGTTCCCAAGAGCAAGTGATCGCCGGGCACGGCAGTTTGACTGGCCAAGCAGGCAGAGTGGACCAGGCGATCGAAGCACGCGCTCGCCGACCCCACTTCGGTGCTACCCCGCAGAGTGCGGGGACGGCGAGAAGGAAGACCAGGAGCGAGACGGGGAGGCAAGAGCACTGGTGACGTGTAAATCATGCAGCCGTGCACTCGCGCGTGCGCATGCGCAGTCCCCCTCTCCCCCACATCAGCGGGTCAGCATCTGAGGCCGTCCCTGCGCCCTGCGATCACAGTCTGCACAAGATGAGCGGCACTCGTTGTTCGTCTGGGGAGGGCTTCGCACGGGGTCACGTTTCTCGCGCCCTCAGTCGTCACTCTCCCGAGGCCTGGTGCTGGCTGCCGTGAGGGCGTGCTGGGGCCGCGACAGCGCAAGGCAGCTTCCCGATCGCTGCCAGGGTGGCCAGCCGCCGACCCCGAGCTGGCGAGCCGCTTCCTGCCGGCCGGCGGGCCCGGAAGGACGAGCTCTACAGCTGCAGCAACCCCCGTCGGATTTGCGACTGCCCTGGCGACGTGGACGTGGCCGGGATCGCGGAGGCTGCAGCCGCGACAAGGCGAGGGTCGCGGAGGGCCCTCAGAGCTCGGCATCACCATGTGCAGCCGCTGTGGGAGAGCCGAGGGCGCCAGCAGCGACGAGGCAAGGGTGGACACCTGGTCGCTGCGCCGATGCACCGCTGCGCAGCGGCAGCACCGGCAACACCACCGCAGGAAGTGGGATAGAGAGAGAGAGAGAGAATGCCTCTCCCAGGCCAGCCACAGCTGGGGGAGCTGTGGTCCTTACCCCCCTGGGGGTCCCATCGATTTCGACGCCCCTCTCGAGAGATCGTCGATGCGATGGGTTCCCCCAGAGGGGTAAGGACCACATCTCCCCCAGCTGTGGCTGGTCGGTCTCCCCACTCTCCTCCAAGCAGTGGGCGCCGACCCCGAGGCGTGGTCCACGACGGGCCGCGGGGCGCCAGGCGTGCAGAGGAGCAGGCGCGCGCGCGCGCGACCTCGGATGAGCACACCGACCCCTCGCGGAGGACGAGGCTTCGTGGCCGCCGCGGCGGCTGTGGCATCCGCGCCCGCGGGGGGGTGCGATGGGAGAGGCGTGCCCCTGGCGCAGTCGCGGCAGAGCAGGTGCCGCGCAGCCAGGAGAGGCGAGAGGCCCCCGGGGGGCAGTGACCGAGGCTGTCGCGGACGTGGCGGGCGGATGCCTCGACCGCGACTGAAGACGGCGCGGCAGCTGCCCGAGCTTCGCCGTGGACTGGGGGGGCGGGGATGGAGGGGCAGGGAGGCGTGTGGAGCGACGGGATGAGCAGGAGGAGGTTCGAGTGGATCGGGGAGCCGGGGCAGCGGCGCCTCTCGCGTCGCCGCCGGCCACCGGCGCCCGAGCCGGGCGGGCCCGTGACCGCCCCCCGGGAGGTGCACGACACGCTGGAGCGCCTCAGACCGAAGCTCGCCTTCCCCGAGACCAAGGCGCAGGCCGACGAAGCTATCCTGAAGCTGCTCGAGGTGGGCGGTCGGCGAGGGGGAGGGGGAGGGGGAGGAGTATCCCCAGGGAGCGCAGAGGGCGCGTGGATTAGAGAGACGGGTCCCGCTTCCGTTCAAGGCCGGCGCGGTCCGTGGCCAAGTCAGGCGGCGTTGGCTTCTTGTTCCAACCCTGGCCCGTGGATCTGGCTCGCTCGCGCCAGACGCCAGATCCACGGATCTCTAGTCTGAAGTCGGGCATGTCCCTCTTCAAGAAAGACATTCAAACATTGCCAAAATAGTCTGGGGACGATGTTTTGACTATTTTTGCCTATTTTTGGTTATTTTGTTTGACTATTTTATTTGTCCTCCAAAGTCAGCCTGTAGGAGGACATGCCCGATCTACTTCTAAGCCGTGTCAGCGCGCGCCCGAGTCTTACAGTCAAAAAGCGGAGTATCGCGAGTGGATCGACCTCCTAATTACCCTGACACGTCGATGAGCGAATTGGCCGTTTTCGGTTCACGAGAGGGCGTCGCGGCCGTCATTTTTGCGGGTCAAGGTCCGTCGGTTTCGGTCCTGGGCCGTTTTCACTACAGAGTGGTTTGCGAAAGAGAGGTTTGTCCACCGCCGAGCGTAGCTTTCCACGGGGGGGGCGCCCGGTCATCCGCGCACCTGGGGGGGCCCATCCCGAGGCACTCTCGTTGGCCACGCTCGCTCGAGCGGCTTTCACTTGAGCGCTCCAGGTCCCTGCGTCATTACCGAGGCGCGCGCCAGTATCATTGTTTCGAGTAGGGGATCGACTACCGAATTGATTTGCCCCAGAATCGATCTGTCTTGTCGAATCCACGGGCAATTCGTATAACTCTCGCAGATCTACGAGTGTTTGACGCATTCTTGTTGAAGAGTCGACGTGAAAATCAATTATGTAGTCGATCCCCCAGTCGATTTTTTTCAATTCCGATGTTCGCGGTTTCGATGCAGGGACCGCCAAGGGGATGGACCTCGCCGCAGTCACCGGCATGCAGGGGCTCCACCCATGGGTCTGAGGGATTGCCTGCAGGACGCGCCGGCGGCCTTCAGGCACTCCAGTCTCCTCGAGGAAGCCTTCCGTATCGGGCACATTCCTTCTCGAGCAGAGGACCTTTCAGCATGTTGCGTATTTTTACATAGATTCGACGAGAAAGCCAAGTTTGGGGTGAATCAATTCTGTAGTCGATCCCCTACTCGACCTTCTCCTCGCACGCAGCCTGACGACAACTGAGTTCAACGAACGCTGCCTACCAGAAGCACAGACGAGTCAAGGCAAGATGGGTGGGAGGCAAGGAGAAGAGAGCAGTAACCGTGACGATGGCGAGAGGGGAACTGTCCTCGAAGCGAGTGATCCCCGAAATCCGCCAACATCACGCGACCCAAGTTGGGATCTACGGCCACATCGAAGTGCTTGAGGGCATCAAAGGGGTCCGAAGAGCCCCACTCACCCCTACCACCAGGATACTTGGCCCCGATTTCGCAAGCAAGCCCCGTAGCAAGCATGCGGCACATCTTAGGCGGGTATGCTTTAGCATGTGCCGTGGTCTACTGGCCATTGTCTTACCAAACTTTAAATTCAGAATGTCCTGTCAGGCCAGAGTATGCACGCACAATAAGGAGGTTGGCTCCAGTGCCTCATATTCGAAGCGGCACTGATGTAAGTTTCATGTCCGCACACATGCATGAGGGAGGAGGCGAGCGAGTAATTCCAAGGAGGAGCCAGATAGATGAGGCATTGGCCCTATGGCTCTTTGCATGCTGCTCCAACAGTATGGCTACTCCTGTAGCCACTCGCTCATAAAGAAGCACAGTGGACGTTTTCAGCAGTGTGTTGCCCCCCCCCCCACCACCACACGCACACACTTGACGCCTTTCCCTAGCGCTGAGGCTGAGAAGGCCCCAAGGTCGCGTGAGGATGCGCAGGGCTCGGGCATGCTGGAAACCTCGCAGCGGACCAGGGTTCGCAGCGTGGGCCCGCCATTCTCCTGCAAACGTGTCCATGCCTGAGCAGCCCCCTCCACCACGCAACCGCTTCTGGCGAAGCCGGGTCTCCCCACCTTTCGTCGTTGGCGAGATCCAGCGAGACTATCACGACGCTGGGCCCGCCGCTGCCCCATTCCTGACCAAGGAAGTCCTGAAGGTCCTGGGGTCTGTGCTGCCCTGAGGAGAGATGCAATAATAACTCGATGTTTCCCTTCATAGGAGGAAGAGGGTCGCTCGCAAACTGAGCTTGCTTCCGCCAAGCAGCGCTCGGTTCTGTGACCCTGTCGACGGTGACAGCTGCAGGGACGATGAGCTGCGGCGGCGGAGCAAGCTGCCCATGGCAAACACTGTGCCCGCAGACCTTTCGGGCTGGAAATTCAACGCCATTGTCATGATACCCCTTGCAGTCGGCACTGATTAGTAGGTCGACCCTGCCAAATCAAGGGTACCCTGGTGTCCTGTGTCTCGCGACCTATGCCTCCTACATTCCTATGGCAATGTGGCACTCGGAAGGGTCTTGTGTCCTCTCGCGTGTCCTGTCCAATCAGGTCCGACTGTAACGACGTTCTCCTTCTGAGCCTGCCTGCCTTGCAACCGGGCCTCAATCCAATGAGCTCCTCAGGGGTTCCTCTTCGTCCGGTGGCAAGCCAGGCCTGGCGGCACTTCTGGGTTCGTCCGGTGGCAAGCCAGGCCTGGCGGCACTTTTGGGGTCCTGCGGAGATGGGCGATCAGCCGACTGCGAGAGTGGAGCTGCATCATGCGTTTTTGGCAAGCCGACCCTGTGGCCCAGGCTTCCGGCTGGTCCCAGGTCTTGTGGTTCCTTACCCTGTACACCTTCAGAGTGCGCTCCGACTCCGTGCCGGACCCGCACTCAAAGACAGACCAGATGAGTAACTTGCTACGGGTTGGGAGGCGCTTGGATGTTGCCCTGGGAGTCAAGCTCGGTCCCCAGGGTCACTTCCGTGAGGTCCTGCCGGAAGTCGCTCTGAGAGCCTGCTGGTCCTCCAGGGCGTGGTTCGAGGCACCTCGGGGCCACTTTCTTGACCTGGGCGAGGTACTTTCTGCCACTGTGCCTTGCATGTGTGAATACATCGCTGGCACATGTTCAGCGTTGTCAATTTCTGCTGCTGGCACATGCTCAGCTGCTTCTTGGCCGGCACTTGTGCTGCGTCGTTAATTATCTGCCTTACCGCGCGCTGTGTCCCAGCCTCGTTCTTACCGCCCTCTGGACTTTTCCTTGCGGGCCGCGAATCAAACAAAGTATGTGAATCCATTATATGATTGACACTTCGTTGGGACCTCTCTCTTGAGAGAAAACTCAACGACCCATGTGAGGTCAGCAGCACAAGAGCGCTGGCCGTCCAGCATTGCCGCGAAACGTACAGCGAGCATCAGCATGTCTGGTGCGTGCTTGGCCAGCCGGCCAACGTAGCGCAGGCGTGCAATTCTGAAAATACCAGCTGCTGTCAATTCGGTGGCTTGACACAGGTTTTGCAAATTAGTGTGCTTAGCCCCCCCACTGTCGCCAAAGGAAAACCCCATGGCAGGTCTGTAGACTGGGAGCTGGGTTCCCATGAGCCTCAGCATGGTTCTGGAAGTCAGCTGACCCCATATAGTACAGTCATAGAGGAGTCTTGAGGTATAATAGGGTTCAACATAGTGTGTCCAGAGCTCCTTGTTGAACATGTAACGTCTACCCAGCACCGCCTTTATTGGTGTAGTTTCCCCAGGCAGAGGCGATGTTGTGAGCCACTTCAGCGGTCATTCCCCCCTTATTGTTAGGGAAGGTGTCCAGTGATTTCTCGGTCCTCCTCACGGCGATTGAAGTCTCGAGCTACGGTATGCTGACGAAAAGATCGTCATTCCTCCAGGTCCAGACCTGGAGCTGAACGGCTTTGGACCCGTGACCCCGACAGGGCGAACATCAACGCGTCTTTGCCAAGATTCATAGTGTTCCCCGTCTTCTTGACTGCCTGCGCGGCAATGGCCGCCGCTCGTGTAGCACCCGCCGGGGACTGCTGGGATCGCGCCGTGGCTCCAACCCACGTGAGGTCATTGACGAATGCTGATGTTTCTTGCTGGCCTGCCCTTTGAGCAATTGTTTTGAAACAGTGGTTCCGCATCATCCAGCGCCCATCCTATGCGTTCCCGGTTCGTAGCCTGCTGGATTTCACGAATGGCTGGCGCGAGCGCCATGTTGAACATGTCAGTGGTTGGTAGAGCTCCTGGCTTGCACCTCAGGGGAGGCCTGCAGAAACCCGATGCAGCTCTGAATCTCCAAAGGCCGTGAGTCTGGCTGTCAGCAACGAGTCTCTTGAGGTGCTCATCGCTGCCTTCTTCATCAAGGATCCTCTGGGGCCCAAGGTTTTTGATGGCGAAGTTGAGGGCCGAGGAGAGAGGCATACGACCCATCTTCTCCATGAAGTCCCTCTGTTCCAGCGGAAGGGCAGTGACCTGCTGCTTTGACACGCTCCAGAAGGCAGCAGCCAGATCCACAAACAAAACAAAGGCAGACGTCCCGATGCCACGGCAGGGGCAAGCTTGGACAGGGCACGATGCGCAGAGCGGTCCGTGCGCGGTCGCCGTCCACATTGAGTGTTTCTTGGCACCCTGGCATGGAGGCGTGCAGGCTGTCCTTGGACATCGCGGTGGTATATCTTGGGAAGCACATTGCTGAGCATGATGCTGCTTTGGGAATGAAGCACGCCTGCTGTCTTGCTTCCTGGCCCCTATTGCAGCCACCTCCGATGGATTGAAACATGGCGACCTTCTTCCTGTGAGCGCAACCTCTTGAAAGATGAGTGAATTAGTCTTGCAGTGGCCTCAGGGGCCACCTTGAGCACCTCGTAGGTGATCATGTCCGGTCCGCTGGCTTTACCACTGTTCGCCTGGATGATATCGATTTTCAGTTCTCGCTTGGATTCTAAGCAGCAAGCTTCCCAGGAATATCCTGGTGGAGGGGGGTCCCAGTGTTGTAGAAAGTGAGCATGTCGTCCCTGGTGACCTGGGCAGCTTATTATACTTCTCCAAATTGCCTCTGAAAGCGCTGGGCAAGCTTGCCTGGGGTGTCCAGAACACCTCCGTCTGGCGCAAGTCTAAGCGGGAAGACCGTTTATTTTCTGTGACGCTCCCCCCATCAGAGCAAAAACGTGCCAACATTAGCCCACCCACGCTTGGACTGCTTGGCGTCACTGGATCGTCTTAATTTCTCCCTCTTGGATGCGAGCAATTGCTGGTAGCCGGTGGGCAGCATTCTCTTGATCATTGTCTCAGAGGTCTCAAGGAAGTGGCGCATTCCAGCACAAACTCGGCAGCCTGTGTCCTGCGCCAACTGAATTCAGACGTTGCTTTGCGCAGCCGAGTGCGAACCTGGGAGCATTCGCTTTTGCAGGCGCTGTGGGTCTCGGCTGCCTCAGAAGCGCATATGTCGAGGGCATATTGCAACATATCCTTGTCCCCCTCCTCCTCCTCCTCCTCCTCCTCCTCCTCCTCCTCCTCCTCCTCCTCCTCCTACCAAGGCATGAGTCGTTCGTGTGGGGGTCGTACATGGTTAGGGCGACGATTCGGGCCTTCTTGCTGCTCCCGCCTCTCACACCATGCACCGCTGTTGCAGCTATGCGACCTGCCGTTGCTGCTGCCTCCGAATCATGCCGCTGCTAGGGGCTGACGGCACAGAGATGCTAACGCAGCATGATCATCCCGCGCAGCATCAGGGATACTCAGGGGGAGGGTGCGCCTCGCTTCGAGCCGCCGCCGCCATCGGAGTTGCATTCTTGACGGGCACCATCGGCCACAGGGGGTTACTGTTATGTCGGGCGTGTCCCCCTACAGGGGGATTCTCGACGAAAAATAAAAAGAACATAATACCCCCAAAAGGTTAAACAAATACTCCAAAAATAGTCCCTGACTATGTTTGGACAATGTTTGTAATTATGTCTGCGGTATTGTTTATTTTTCGTAGAAAATCCCCCTGTATGGGGGACAGGCCCGACTGAAGGTTCCTGGACTATACCAGCTGAACTTTACCGCTTCGTCGGCGCCCTGGCCGTAGAGCGAAGGGCGGCCCGGGCCCGGACCCCGCCTGTTCGGGGAACGAGGCAGCTCGACCCAAAAGCGGCACAGTCTCCCACTCGGTCGCATCTTGCTGATCCTTCCCCGCCAGAGCGTGCCTCCTTTGATAGTGGGTCTGCTGCTGCTCCTCTGCCTCCTCCTTCCTCTCCCAGGCAGACACTGGCAGTGTCGGCACCACCGCGTGAGTGCTATGAGAGCAGGGTTGCACTGCTTGCTCTTCGTCGCTCGTTCGTCCCTCTCTTCCCTTCCCCGTCCTTTCTCTTCTCCCCCCTCTGGTTCTTCCTCTCCTCCCTCCTCCCTCCTCTTCTCCCCCATTCTCTTCTCTTCTCTTCCCCGTCCATTCTCTTCTCCCTGGTTCTTCCTCTCCATCTTCTTCTCCCCTCCCCCCGTTCTTCCTCTCCTCCTGCGCCTCCTGCGCCTCCTGCCCAGGGGGAACGCGATCAGCTGGACATCGGGGGCGGCGAGGACCCGCCTGCCCAGAAGAAGACAGGGGCGGGGTGATATATTGGGGGGGCGGGGATTGGGGGTAGACACCGGGGAGGGGGAGGGGGAGCATGGGGGCGAGGGAGGAGGAGGAGGCGGAGGTGGAGAGGGAGGAGGAGGGAGGAAGAGGAGGAGGAGGAGGAGGAGGAGGAGGAGGAGGAGGAGGAGGGGGAGGAGGAGGGGGAGGAGGAGGGGGAGGGAGGAGAGCTTTTTTCTTCGAAAGAAAAAAAAAACCTCGGCTCGGGGGGAGCCGAGAAGCCGTGCCGGCCTCGGCGGCCAGCAGCTGGCCCCCCTTGTTCTTCCGCCCACGGGGCGCTGCCGGTGCCGACGCGGCCTCCGGAGGGGAACGGGGGGGGGGGAAGGGGACGAATGCGAGGAGGGAGGGAGGGGCGAGAGGAGGGAGGGAGGGAGGAGGGAGGGAGGGGAGGGTTAGGTAGGAGGGGGGAGGAGGGAGGGAGGGAGGGAGGGGGAGGGAGGGGGGAGGGGAGGGAGGGAGGGAGGGAGGGTGAGGTCAGAGGGAGGGAGGGAGGGAGGGAGGGTGAGGGAGGGAGGGGAGGGGAGGGTGGGTCAAGAGGAGGGGGAGGGAGGGGAGGGAGGGAGGGAGGGAGGGGAGAGAGGGAGGGAGGGAGGGTGGAAGGAGGGAGGGAGGGAGGTGAGGAGGGAGGGAGGGAGGGAGGGAGGGAGAGAGGGGGAGGAGGGAGGGAGGGAGGGTGAGGAGGGTGAGGTCAAGAGGAGGGAGGGTGAGGAGGGAGGGAGGGAGGGTGAGGAGGGAGGGAAGTGGACGAACGCGAACACGAGTGCGAGGAGGGGAGGGTGAGGCTGGCGGAGGAGCAGCCACGCGCAGAGGGGGGTGGGGGGAGGGGGGAGAGCCTCTCAGAAGCACCCCGACTTCCCGGCACGGGCTGGGGTCGGCTATGGTACCCTTGCGTCCTGGGGCTCGTCCCCGCACGCCGCTCAGATCGAAACAGCTTGGGCGTCCCAGGGTCTTGCGTCCTCACCGCTCGTCCTTCTCGTCAGCTTCGGCGGCAACTCCGGCCGCGGCCCGGGAACCGGACGCGCGGCGGCGCTGCGAGGACCAGGAGAAGAAGGAGGCGGCCATGGAGGAGAGCGCCCGCCGCGCGGGCAGGCCGGGGAGGCGTGGGGACGAGGCCCTCCTCCCCCTGCGCCTCCTTGAGGATTGTCGCTGCCAGTCCTCCTCTCTTCCCCCTTCCTCCTCGATGCACCCTCCTCTCGCCCCTCCCTCCCTCCCTCCCTCCCTCGTCGCCCCTGCCCCGCTCCTCCCTCGCTCCCCGCTCCTCCCTCGCTCCTCCCTCGCTCCAGCGCCGGCCCGGCACAGGCGCGCGGCGGTTCGGGGGGATGGCAAGGCCATGAGCGGAAGCGGGAGGGTCAGGGGCAGGGTCAAGGCCAGGAGGAGGAGCAGAGAAACGGGGAGAGGAGGAGGGGGAGCAGGAGCTGGAGCAGGAGGAGGGGAAGAGGCGGATGAGGAGGCGGCGGAGGCGCAGGCGGAGGACGAGGAGGAGGAGGACCAGGGCAAACCCCAGACGTGAGCACCAACGATGTTGCAATAATCCATCCCTCCAAGCACCCTGTTCGTAAGGCCCTATATGGGCATTGCGGGAAC